GTCCATTCCTCTGTCCTAGGCGTGACCAACTCTGCTTGGCAGTCTTTTTGTCCGTTCTGCTCAGTACAGGCAACAGGGATGGAGATTCCTCCTCTCTCCAGAATATTGGACTAAATTAATCTGTTTCATTTTACCTTAGCTGTGTTTTCCTGTCTGAAATAATCCCTGTTGCTATCCAAAAAAATTCCCAAGATGATGTTTCTCACCATGTGTTTGTAATTTCTGTTCCATTACCAAATTGAATGTGTGCTAATTACCTTATCCTATTGTATTTTTGTGTGGCATTTATAATCTGCGAGCCTGATGATTATAAATAGTCTTTTTAGAGTGTATTTAACTTGTCACTTTTTGGGAAAGTTACAGGCCAGAAAGCATTCTCTCTTTTTTTTTTTTTTTTTTTTTTTTTTTTTTTTTTTTTATAGTTTAGAATGTACTGCTTTTCTAATCCACTCTGTCATGAGAAATAGTACCTTTGTATTTTCTTCGATTTGTTACAGAAGTTAAATTGTGTTAGAAGTTGTTTTCCTGAATATACAGATGACATGCTTTATGACCTTGTCTCTACAGGAAGAGATTTTTGGAGAGAAATTACCTTGAGTATCTGCATATGTTTTCCTCTTGTCTTAGTGGGTGTCATAGTTGCCTGTATTTATCTTCCAGAGCAGTTCTAGATTACATCTTGAATACTATTTTTTTAAGCATTGCATGTGACTTGCATTTCTCTTTTTAATTATACTGCACTCTTTTGGTACCTCAGAAAACCTTTCCATGATTGTCTCTCATCTGGCTCATACCAAGGGATATGTCCTTTCCAATGCTGTAGGATATTTAGCAAAGGAATTTTCAAGTGGTACTGGCAGGTGCTGAGGTTTATGTCCTGGATGTGGTAGGCATAGAAAAAGTGATGTTTGTACATGAAAATATCCATTTACACATGCAACAGTATATACACATTTATACATGTACCACACAAACTATTTTATGGTGCACTTGACAATTTCCTTTTAGTACTACGTTTACTTAGAATTGGTGCAAACCATTTGTCCTGAAACGTCTGTTAGAAAAAGTGAATGAGGACAAATTCAGTAGTTCCTCAGCTGACTATAACAACAGCTATTTCTGAGCGGTTCTCATCCTCTCACCCAGAAAATCAGCATAAAATTGACCTAACATTGCCAGATCAGAGTATCTGGAAAGTAATCCTCAGGGAAAATTCAGTCTTTGTAAACCTGAAGATAGAGTGCATACAATTGCAGAATCGGATTATACTTTCTCTTTTTATTTCTAAATCAGTACCCTTTTGTTTCTTCCTCTGCAGCCCTTTTGAGAAGTTGTCCCAAAGATGTGTCAGATGCTTCCTGAGCCTAGCTCCCAAAGCAGAAACCAACATAATCTTTTGAAAAAAACGCCAGTCTCAGACTTGGATAATTATCATGAAATCCTGAAGCTTTTTATACGTGTTAGGGTTTGGTTTCAGAGAGTAAAGGCATAAAAAAATGTAGTAACTTTCCTTTTTGAAGCACAAGTCACATCAGATTTTCTTACTTAATAAATGTAAGGCAAGTACCTACTAAAATAACCAGTAAAAAGCCAGTAATAACAGCTGCAAAACCCAGCTCAAAGCACTTGGACAAGTCTTGAAGGCGTGTAATTTTTGCTGAGTGTAGCACTGAATATTTGTCTTGGGTTGAGGTAGGAATTTTTTTTAATGTTGGGTCTTTTTTGTTTTCATGAAAGAGTATTAAAAGCATTATTCTTCCTGTTTAGATCACATACATTTAATTATCGTCTCATGATATAAATATCCTTTCACGATAAGAAAGTAAATGTTGTTATACCTGTAGTTGAGTGAACTGGAATTTGCTTTAGATTTGTTCTCACCATTTCAAGGGAGGATGGAGTAGTATGAGACAGCCTTAGTATGAAGTGAGGACGGCAAGATGAGCAGGACACTAAATTCAAGTTTTAGGGTTTTTTGCCTGTTGTAATATCAGGGCACCAAAAGAACTTAGTGGAGCTGTTGGTCTTGTTGCCTGTAGATAAAGGGTGGCCCTGTGAAATGCTGTCAGCTCTGTTGGCACCTCATTGATGTGTAAATTTTACCCATGTTTTGACCCCAAGACCAAAGATATGCTTAATTGTGAGACTGTATTTTGCTCATGACTGTGGCCTTTTAAAATAACACCCGGAGGTTTTGCTATTGCGATCTGCTTCCTATTTTGAAGGCTGGCAGTTACATTTGCACCAAGGAGAGTGAACAAAAATTACATTTCTATCCAACTTCAGAAACCTCAGTGATTTTGTTACTGTGTTACTAAAGCATTCACTATACTAAATGTTTCTCATGTAACTGTACTTCACATCTGCCAAAATCATCTGCCTGGCTTGGCTGCTGGGGAGGGAAGAGGTGATGTTGCTAAGCTCCTGGCTGGTGATGCTCCAGCAGGCCAGCCTCACTGCAGAGCGGTCCCCTCACCTCCTCGCAGGCCATAGCATTAGGTTTTGCAATAGAAGCAACTATAAATGGTACTGCAAGACTTGGGAAGTTGTGAACAAGAAATGGGTGATAAGAAACGGAACTACAGGCAGCTGCTAACCAGCTTGTATTGCACGAGGTGTAGCAAATGCTTGATGCTGGAGTGCTGCTGCATGAAGCAGTCCTGCTTTTTTCTCACCACAACTCCCTATTCCCTAGTTTTTCTTCCTTTTTTTCTGTGCAAACCCAATGGTTTTGGGGAACTGATCTAGTTAATGCTGCCTTGGAAAGTTTCAGACAGTTGGTTTGATCTCGGCCAGTTCCCTCATCTGGCTCTGTGTAGCTGTGACAGTCTGCACCAGCAGGAGACAGACAGTGCTGCAGCTTCACCAACAAGTACCTGGTAGTGGGAGTGCAGAGGGATTGCTCTTTCAAAGAGAAATTTATGCTTGAAGTGTTTGTGGACATAGGGCGTTAGATTTACAAGCTCAGTTAAAGTATTTTTTGGATTCTGCAGGTTTTCAGTGCTTTTGAGCAAGTAATTTATGAATTATTTAACATGGTGTATTTGATATGTTACCGTACTTGCTGCTCTTTGGATTTATCAGGGATCATTGTTGATATGTAATCGCTTTCCTTTTCATGATACTAATTTAGTTCCTTTACAGGATAGTCAAACTGCTCTTGTACCTGATCATTATAGAGATTTGTTTGCAATTTAAATATGCACAAAATAAATCAGGACAAAAAGGTCTTTCTTGTAAGTATCTGTACTTGTTTGCTCTCATATTCTTATAAACTTAGCATCTTATGTCTTGTTTTGTAGCTGCCTTCAAAAGTTCTTGCTCCCCATAGTAATGGAGGAAGATTCATTGTGCAAAATACACATATTTTATTAAATAATAGCCGCAAAACCCTTCCTGGATGTTCTTAGGAGAAAAAACAAGCTTGTCCAACAAGCAGAGTCAAATGCCTCAATTTTTATTGAGTACCGCACTTAGATTTGAATTGGATACAAATTAGGTCTAAATTGAATTGCTTTGATTGACAGGTTGAATTTTGTAACATGTTTGAAATGTATGTTCTGCTCTTGGCTTAAGATCTGGCCTGGGGTGAAGGAGGAATGCTGACTTTGGTCTCCAGCTCCTGGTGGCTGGGCCAGCAGCAAATGCACACGTGCGACACCTCCATGCTGAACAGCAGGATTTGAGATCAGCAGCTGGGAAGGACACCACCAGCAGTGGCATTTCCCTTCTCATTAAATCTCCAGTTTGCACCAGCAAACACATATGGAGCCTGAAGAGGAGTAGAAACGCCGTATTTTGCCAAAAGTGGAAAGCCCTGTGGTTCTAAAATCAAACCTAGCAATGAGAAGGACATACCTGAGCTACCATGCAGTGATGATATTAGAGCCTGAAGTGGAAATCTGAAGTTTCCCAGACAGTGGCTCCTTGGAGAACAGGGATCTAGCTCCTGAGGCAGACAAGAGGTGGTAGCTCCCATCAGACAGTGCCCTGGCACCTACTATTGTGTTTCTCCTTCTTTTTCCTGCCCTTGTGCCCTGAGCTGCTGCTGGCTGTGTGGTCAGTGGTGGGAGGAGCTGCCTGACTGCAGCTGGGGCACGAGCAGGAATTAGAGAGATCTGCCGCTGGCCCAGGCTCTGGCACTGCCCTGGGTCTCCCTTGCAGGGAGGTGGGTAATTTCACTTTGAGCAGGTGGACAAACACTGCTGCTAACCCGTTGTTTGGAAGCCTTTGAGGCTTGGTGGGTGTTTGTGGCCGTGTAACAGTAGCGCCTCAGGATGGGTTTGTATCAAAGGAGATTAATAGCTTTGGGGGGAGGCAGGATGAAGATCATAATTTGTGTTTTTGTTGAAAGGTTATGGTTCCTGTCCTTGTGATAGAAGCTTTTGAAACAATATTAAGTGAAGACTAATATGTAGCCTAAATAACTGATTATTTTTATAATTAGCAGTTTACAAGTGGTTAATGAAAACTTCAAGGTATTGAAATGCTGGTTTTAAATGAGTATGAACAGAAAATACTGAACCATGTTAGCTTGTCTAAACTCTTCCTTGAGAATGCTGGTTACATTGCTGCTATCTTTAAAGCCACAAAGGATGTTTTTCTGTTCTTTCATAAAGGCCTTTTTTCCCCCCTTATAATTTTCTGTTCTTTTTTCCTGGAGTGAAAAGAGGTTTTCTGTATCTTTATTTCTTAATTGAACTAAAAAGTGAAAATTAAATGTGCTTAAAGAATGAGGTATTCCAGGATTAAAGAATTTAATATGAAAAGAGTTCAGTATATTATAACCTGCTGCCATATGTAAAACAATAAACATACACTTTCATAAATATGAAATAAGTCTTTTTAATAATCCAGTATCTTCCTTAGTTTTTAGATATATTTTTGCACTTGCCTCAAAGCTTGACGTTAAGCTGACCCTCTCTTTAATATTAATGTACTCTGACTGTAATACTCTGTTCCTTTGCCTCTGATTAATGCTGTCTGTCAATTATTTACAGATCCAGTGGTACTGTGGAAGTTCCCGGAGGACTTTGGAGACCAGGTTGGAAACATGAGATTGAACTTTTTTTTAATGTTAGAATAATAATAAAAAAGCTCTTCTATTCAGCTGTGGAGAGGCAGATGCTAATGATAGCAGGGTGGAAGCCTTCACCCAACTGGTGGCTTGGTGATTAGATTGCCTCTGTGACAGGAATACGCAATGGCAGTAGTAGAGCATGGAATGTTGTGCTAATTCTCTGTATCACCTTATTTTTGATATAGAGTATTTTATCAGGTGATCCTGTTGGACTTGTTGGGTTTTTATCCGTTTTGGGCTTGAAAATGCAGAAAAAATTATCAATAAAACTTTGCCAAACATTGATGTTATAAAAAAACCACCAGATCAAAATTTGAAGAGCTATCCTTGTATGTCTTCTTAATGTCAGAACGTGTGCATTCCATTCCTTTAATCCTTTTCAATGCAAGATTTTAGATAGTTACTTAATAATATTTTAGAGATACCATAGTTATTTGCTTGGGGGAAAAAAAATCCTCAGACCCTTATAAGAGACTGATCTAAAGTTACTGATTGTGAAAGCGTGAAAATTCTATGTTGTATCTATAATTAATCCTCAAAGGAAAGTTTATACATACAGGGCTGATGGATTATTTCACTGTTTGTAGTGACAGCAAGCTATTAATTAGTGTGTTGTGCTTTTTGCCCCATGACTATGTTATGAAAGTTATTAATATTAAAAGCTAATGAAATTACTAAATTTTATTATTTCAGCAACTTCTACAAGAGTTTCTTGCATGGAAATATTTTTATTTTCATAAAAGAAAATACATAAAGCAACAAAATTAATAAATATCTCTGTCTCAATGGCTTCTTTGCGTCTTGCTTTTATACTATATTGAGGCAAACATATTCTTCATTGGTATTATCACCACAGTGGATGATCTGAAAGTCTTGTTGTACAGCAGATGTTGATAAATTGTTGATTTTTTTTTAAAAATCAATAGTACAAGATTCTATGAAGACAACTATAAGGTGATTCATGATGAAAGGAATGAATATACAAACATAGAAAGTAGGATGTGTGGTTAGGGAATAGCATCAGTCAGAAATGTGCAGCCTGTATAACAGTGACAAATGAGCAAAGTGTGTTGTTGTATGTTCTCAGCTAGGCATTCAGCAAGTTTTGATAATTATCCTGGCTGCAGGATGATCATCTTCATTGTCATTTAAATTCTTTTTTTCTAGTTTGTTTTGTTCTCCAAGAAAGACTTGATCTTAAAAAAAAAAAAAGAAAAAAAAAAGAAAAAAAAAAGAAAAGAGAAATTATGTATGAAGAAAAATGGGAGCTTATTCAGCAAGTCGAAGGTTATTCAAAGAACAGCTGGTGTAGAAAAATGATTAGAAGATAAAGCCCACTAAAGACTGGAGGGGAATCCTACAAAGATGCAGTAGACATACCTAATCTATAAACACCAGAGGCCTCAGGCAGCACTCTGCCTTTGGGCTCTGAAAAACCTGTGCCTGCACATTGTGTCTCAGTTGTGTGGGCTCTCTGGCGTTTCAGGTAAATTGCTTGTGTTCCTGGAAAACAGGGTGTTTTAATCCTTCTTCTTGCAAGGGAAATTTTCCCATTAGAACCACTGGATTTAAAGAGAATATATAGCAGCTTCTGAAGCAAACCCCTGAGCCAAGTCATGGAGTGAAATCAGCAGAAGCCTTCTCTGCATGTGTGTGTGCATGTTGAACTGGGTAGGTTCGGATTGGAGACCTGAGTATCCACCAGATTAATTTCTTTAAGAATCAAAAACCCACTATAACTATCAGTGAATTTCCATGAAGGTTTGTGGGAAGAATGTTTAAAAAAAAGAAAAAAAAAGAATATTCTCTGTTCTGTTTTTCAGTCATTTCTATTTTAAATGTAAAATGTGTGAGTTAGTTTTTGGATGTATCCCAAAGAATCATCTTTCCTAAAATTGAAGGGCTGTCTGTTTGCACAGTGATGTGATAACAGTGGGCAAAATATTTTCCTCCCTTCCTGAATTTTTCTACAGTTTATCATGTCACCTTTTTGTTGCTTTCATAATGCAAAGAAAACTTGTCTAAGCCATTTTGACATTTTCTTCCTCTTTCTCACATTTCTCCTCTAAGTATGTCTGAACTTCCCAGTGCTAACTCATTTCTAATCTTCTGTTTTTCTCCTGCCCTACCATTTTCTTTGATGCTGGTCAATATTACTTTGGTGCAATTTTTTCTTAAACACTGACTTTCCAAACTCATGTTTTGCTAAACATCTGATCTGTTGAAACCAGAGTTGATCAGGGGGAAGACAAGACCAGGGATTTGTCATAATTACTTACTCGCAGTCTGTCAAGTAAAGGAAATATTAAGGCATGGTTTTGGTATCACAAAAGAATTTGCAAGATTCGTTGTTGATTTCCTTATCTGCAGGGAAAACACTTATTTTCTCTCTGGTAACTTCTCAGATGCCAGAATAAGAAGGAAAGGAGGAAAACATAGAGTGGGGAAGGGAAAAAAATAATGCTTCAAGGCAGGAAATGAAAAATACGTGTCTTTGCCAGGAGTGTTTCAAAAAGTATTTTTGCCTTTTTTTTTTTTTTTTTTTTTTTTTTTTTTTTTGTTAATTTTATTTTATTTTTTGAGGTGGGAGTAATTCCATTTTTAGTAACTCTCAAAACCATCAATGAAAAAATGAGCTCATGCTGGTTAGAATTCAAAGTGCAAAATGCCACAATACCATTTCAAAGAAAGTATTTATTAAAAAGTCTGTCAAGAGCCAGAAGAACTAATCTGTTTGAGACATCTTAGAGTTACAAGTTACTGTTGTACTGGCATTAGTGGTATAAAAATGAGTTTGACAATGTGGAAAAAGTTGTGAATAATTTCAGCACTGCAGAGAAAATGTAGAGATTTCTCATTTGAGCTTATATATGTCTTCTGTGATTATCCTCCAGAACTCAAATTTGGATAATGAATGAGTTGTAGCCATTTAATGGGCTATTTTTTTTTAAATGTTCAAATATCCCCTTTATGCAAAATTTCCCATGATAAAAGATCAGTATGTTTTCCATCTTGAAACTGCTATTTTGTTTATTCAGACTGGTTAAACTAGAGATTAATTTCAGCCTTACAAGGCCATTTTTAAATGGAAGTCTGAAGAAAAAATATTAATGCTATGATATCTGGAAAAAAATTCCACTTGTTTTTAAGAAGAAAGTATTTTTTTAAGGGCTTTAGAAAAGCAGCCCAAATGAGAACAACACCTTGGATTCCAAACTAAAGTGCTTGCTGACTGTTGAAGAAGAAAACACATTTCTGCAGAAGTTCATGTGGCCCGGCAGAGCTGCGATCTGCTGGCACTGGCTTGTCTGCTCGTGGAAGTGCAGTCAGTAGCAAAGCCCTGTTGATGTCACATGTGTCCAGATGTCTCCGCTATGGCTCTGTTCGTCTCTGTTCTGCAAATAAAAACACTGACACTCCCACCAGCTTCACTGAGTTGAAACATTCCTGGGAAAAGAGTGGTGTTAGCACAAGGAAGGAGGAGAGCACAGTGCTGACAGCACCAACAGCAAGTAGTGCCTGGGCAAGAGGTGGTACTGCTTCTGTGCTGGCTTAACCTTTGGGGCATGCGAGGTCCAACATTTCTTATTAATTTAGTAATTATCTTTAGCTGTGTAAGAATTCAGCAGCTTTTTAATCTGACCACCTATTGACCTGAAGTGACTTCTACCTGTAGTATGTGGTGTCCACTGAATAGTTTTCATTCTTTGCCCTTCTAATCACATATTTTCTAATTTCAGCCTGCAACTTCTCTGCTGGTGAAAAACATCTCACCAGGAAGATTACACAAATAGCTAACTAATATCAGGAGATGGTCTTACCAGAAGCTCCTTTAGTAATAAATATGACAAGGGGTTATTAACTGAAGATGTGGGTTAAGAAGGGGTTCAGACTCTGCATTAGACTGTTGGCTATGTTGCAGATTTCATCCTATCTCCTCTTGCTTTCTAAGACAAGCAGTCTAAATCTGCTTTCCGATGTCACCCAAACCCTGCAGATGAGTAATGCAGTAATGAGTAAGGGATATGGTATTCCACGTGAGGAATCTCTGCTGTTTTCTCTGAAGTTAGGGTAATGCTCTTTATGTTATTATCTCATATTTTACATAACTTCTGGATTTTAGTTTTACTGTATCACATCTTGCAGATGTCACCACTGAATTGTGAGCTTTGTATCCTGCAGTGACCCAAACTAAAGTCTGATACTATACATGTAAATCTACCTGGTTCATGTGAAAATATTTGTAATACATAAAGATGTACAAGTTCATGTGCAGTTGTTTAAAACAGAAATCCTTAGAAGTACCAATGTGTTGCTCTTCCTGCAGCAAAGCACCAATCACATACTTGACTTTCAATGTACGTTTCAACCACTGAAAATTAAGCCTGGCTTAAATGAGCATCTGATTGGAGACAAAAGGCTCAGTTTCTTTCACAATGGAATATTCAGTTGAATGGATTGTGGCAGCAAATACATAAATGAGGTCACCATGAAAAAGATTATATTCATTTTTTAAAGATTTAAATAATAGTACAAGTTGGCTTTTTTTTTTTTTTTTTTTTTTTTTTTTTTTTTAATATTCTCCAGAAGCAAGCTAAAATCTGTTCTCTGGGTCGAACGAATGTGTGGAAGCCGGCAGTGAGATGTTGTGTTCCTCTGTGCTCTCTTAAGAGAGCAGCAGGAGCCCAGGAGGTATGAGGCTGTTTACACTCCCTCCAAGGCTGCAGGCATGCTGTTAGGGGATGCATCTCACCAGGTTTCTGCATGAGATGGCTTTGTTCTTGTGTTCTGATGAGGCATTAAATACATGTTTCAAATGTTTATGCTAACTAGATAGGTGCTTGCTTTGTGGGATTGTTTTTATCAGGAAATCTTAAAAAGGGTTTGGTGATTTTGTTGTTTGTTTATTAAGAAGTATGATTGATATTTGGGTGTATTGGTATGAGAAAGGAGGAATCAATCTA